GTTTTGAGTTGATTAGCTGATTGGCATGTCACCATATTCTAATTTGTTGAGATAGTGAATTGGTGGGTTTTTGTGAAATGTGAGCCAAAATCATCACAATTAAAAGAACCAAAGACTTAAACTACTTCAGTCTGTGTGCATTGAATTTATTTAATACACGAGTTTCACAATTTGAGTTGAATTACTGAAATAAATGAACTTTTCCACGACGTTCTAATTTATTGAGATGCACCTGTACATCTTCTGAAGTCAGATGATGGGTTTTTGTGAGGAATAGACTGAAAAACTGACTTATTCATGCTTCAGCATATTCAAACCTGAATCGGTCACAACACAAGCCACAGGAGAACCAATAGCATTCGACATCATTGACTTCTGTGCTATGAAAATTATCTCTGTGTCAAAAATCCACAAATCATCTACTTTTGTTTTCCACTGAAATATTTAAATCAAATGAATTTGGAACAATATGATTGCCATTCTTTTAAATAACACAAATTCATTCCTAGTTCTCATAAAAATAAAAATATTACTATCATAAAAATACTACCACTGCCACTTTTACTGTCATTACCCCCCTACAGAGATCACTGATGTGAGAGTTAAAGACTCATTTAGACCCAAAGCCATTGTCTGAAGGAATGTTCAAAGGTGTTTTGTGCATAATTATTAGGAAGTTTTTTTTCTTCTACAGGTAAAATGGACCATTGCGTCAGCAGGGTCACAAAAACAGTTGTTGAATACAAAGCATTTATAACTTTAAGCCACATCTTCCCTCATCAATTAAATATCAAATGATTATATACAACCTTAATAGTAATTGTTAAGATTGTTTAGAATTGGTGAAATGTGCTTGTAAAAAAATATGATCAGAATATTGACTTAATTATGCATGAAGTTCTTTCATTCATTCATCGGATAGCTGTACATTTATGAAGTGGAACTACTTATCCAATGTAGGGGAATTTTTGCATTATTACTGACATACAGTATTCGCTGTAGGTTTCATGTAAACAGTGCTTTACAGATCACATAACGTCAGGTGTGTTCTATACCACTTTCTGGTACAATCTGAACTTTGATTTAAAGCAAAATTAACTCGTTTTACTTTTTACATTATAATTGAGCAGAAAGCAGTGTTCATTTTGACAGCAAATTTTGATTTAGTTTTAGTCATAGTCTTTTGACTAAAATTCCATTTAGTTTTAGTCATATTTTAGTCATCTGAATTGTTTTTAGTTTTAGTCGAATAAATCTACAGTAAATTTAGTCGGCTAAAATCTAATGGGTTTAGTTACAGTGTAATGCATTTATTAAGCATTTCTCTAAAATTTCCAAACTAATTATATAGGTTTGATATTAAGGTTTTATCATGATAGACACCGATTTAACTGCGGTGACACACAACATGCCTTTATGTTAAAATTAAATAAAACCACTTTTCATAAAGAACAAGAGCATGGTCTTATTTTTAATGAAATATCAATGGTTATATAGGCTAATTATGCATTCTTTATAGCAACTTGTTTACCATATTCTTCATTCTTTCAAGCAGACATATTTCTATCAATAAATTTAGATTAATCTTTAGGGCTACTAAAGTTTTTCAGTCAAGAGCAGTTCATTATTTTCAGTCTTTCTTTTGTTGCTTGATTAACATCAATGACTCGGGACAATAGCCACTTAGGCTGCTATCTCTTTAAAACTGAATGCACAGCTGCAATGGATGTAATGTACTGATACACGTTCTCCCTACTGTTTACATTCACTTAAGACGTAATCAACTGTGTTTACGTGAATACTTGTCAAAACGGACAATTCGAAATCATTTTGTGTGTAATTCTCCGTTCATGTGACGCGAGAGAGTACTTGCACACTGTGAGATGCGCTTTCTGTGTGTATGTGTGTGTGTATGCTTCAGTGGCTACGTTTACATGCACAATTTTTGGTTCAATCGGACTGAATTAATTCCGATTGATGAATCTGAATGTAGTGTTTACGTGAATGCTAAAGAAAGTGATTGCGCGTTTATGTCACAAGCTTCAAATCTGATTTGATTTTTTTTTACATGCGGTTGCACACTGCACAAATATAGAGTTTCTCACTGTTTGCACATAATAACCACACTTCTACACGGTTTCTTTATTTGTTTTTAACAGCAGAATTACTATTTATCCATTTATGGATAAATATACATATAAACCGCTGTGCCGTGCTGCTCATATTTATCACCAGTAAAAATGCCCCTCCACGCGCCCCCAAAACGGGTTGCCTTTGGATGAGAATCCAAAACAAGGACTGGTAGGAGGTTGTCCTGCTTCACTTCACAGTTGCTGAGTGAAAGGAGAGTTTTATAATGACAGGACACGCATTTATACAACACTTTATTCAAAAGGAAGAACCGCTCGTTCCGCGCATCATACGTCATTACGCTATTTCTGCGTCACTGTACATGTGCAGACCTTTCCGTTACGGGGTTGAATCCGATCGAGTGTTTACATGCACTCTCAATCGTATTAGAAAAGGAATAAACCACCCCCTTCAATCCGATCAAAATTTAATTCCAATCGAGCTCAATCAGATCGATTAAGGTGTTTACATGAAAGCTTTTCAGTCCTATTGAGCCGTCAATCCGACTACAAACGGATTATTTGGTTGCATGTAAACGTAGTCATTGTCTGCGCTCAGAAAACCGGACCGAATTGAGTTTTCTCTTGCATCGTCAGATTTATCCATATGTCTGCTCTTCTCTTACTCGCACATATTGACATTTTATGTTAGCTTATGTCCCGCCAATATAAAGACAGTATAAGTCATTATAATCAGTAATTATGTCCCAACTGGATGCAACAAATGCCTAATTTGTAATGGATTTTAATGTTTTTGTCTCGTCGCTCCACGGCATCAACAGTATGGTGAGGGGCGTAACATTTCCGTCACACGCTTGAGGTATTTGGCCGACAATTCGAAATCATTTTGTGTGTAATTCTCCGTTCATGTGACGCGAGAGAGTACTTGCGCACTGTGAGATGCGCTTTCTGTGTGTGTGTGTGTGTGTGTGTGTATGCTTCAGTGGCTAATCTGAAATAGCTGGCCAATCACAGCACACCTCGCTTTTCAGAACGATGAGCTTTGTAAAAATCGACACGTTTCAAAAAGGCGGGGCATAGAGGAGAAACAATAATGTACAGTATGTGGAAAATAATGTGTGTTTTTTTACTTTAAACCACATAAACACATTTCATTACACCAAATCACAAAATAATGTTCTTTTTAGCAGTATCATATGACCCCTTTAACACTGGCTGAAAGTTAAAATGTTAGATATATCTCAGCACTGCCAGGGTTGGTTAGTTATTGTAATATCTTTCTATACCAGTCTCATATTAACAAATATAACGTTTGAATGTTTTTGTTATAATTCCATGTGGTTTATTTACAACTTACGTATGCTTGACTGCTGGGGGGCCTATTAATGCATTTACAGTAACATGTTGAAATGATTGTCTATAATACTCAGACAGTGTGACTGACAGTGGTACATTTAAGCTAATGGTTAATGATCTGGACTGCTAACACAAAGGCTGTAGGATAAATCCCTTGGATCAATCCCAATAAAACAGTAAATCTATCGTACTGTGTGCAATGCTAATGAAAAGAGTCTGATGAGGCTTATAAACACTCATTACTCTATTACACACACGCTGACCTTTCCATCCTCCAGTTGTAGCTGCAGTACTCCATCTCCTTGTCTGTAGTCCTTGGTGAGCTCTGCTGACTTCCACACTTCTTCTACATCGGGGATCCAGACCCGTGCATACTGTAAAGACAGAATTATCAGTTAATATCACTCGCTCACACAATGTTCATTGAATATTTCTATTTAACACAGATTTGAGGCATTGTAATTAATCATATGGGAATGTAAGTGAGATTGGAAAATAAAGACATTCTGCTGCTAAACATGTCAGCTGTTGCAGCCAAACTGGGGGGAAAATTAGCTAAAAAAACATTTAATCACATGACACAGGAACTCAAAAACAGGCAAAAGATATTAAGAGGGTTGTGCAAGTTAATATATATTCAAAAATATTTTCATTAATTCAAATCAAAAGAATCATGTCATGCCTTACAACTGTTCTTTAGTTGAAAATACACCACTTTATGCTAGTTAAATGTGCTGTGAATGTCATTTTAAATCATATTTACCATTTTTCTGTAATAAAGTACAGCTGTGGTGATAATTTGTATCAGCTGTGTCATCCTGTCTGATCTGCCTCATTGCTAAATTATAACTGCATCAATAATAATAGAAACAGCATGAATGCAGTCATGACAACAGAAGACAAACATCACAGTTCATCTGAGAGAACAACCAGATTCATCCAATAATCCTGATTATACATGACTGACTGACCCTAATAAACATGAGAAAAGAATCAAACAAAGAAACAGCAGAAAAAAAGTATAGTCACACTTAAAAAAGTATAGCTGCACACTTCAGGGCTCCAGGCTGTGGTCTATAATATTGCACACACACACACACACACACACACACACACACAATATTTATTTAAAAGAGAAAAACTTAGGGAACACTTTTGAGAGATGACACAAAAATATGAAGAGAATAAAGCAGCATGGATGAGCTATAGCAATCAACTCCGTCAACTTGCTCCAACATATTTCTGAGTCAGTGAGGCCCATTTTTCACTCTGTGTGTGTTTTATGCATTTCTGAATGCTGCCTGACTGTGTCAGCAGTGATTACGTCAGAGTTAGTCACACGGGCCAGATGGGATATAGCCCAGCTTTCCACACCATCATTATAACTCATTCGTGTATGAGGCTCACACACAGACACACCGGCACACACGCCCTCCACCTCAGAAAATTGCTCATGCAATTTTAACATCGAGTCATATTAAAGTCAAAGGTACCAATACCGGTGAAATTTCACAATACCATAGCAAAAAAGTAAAACATCCTTCATTTAAATTGTCCAATATGGTGCACTCATCCTGCAACTTTATGTTCACAAATCAACTGTGTTTACTTTATTACCTCGCCAGCGGGAATTCAAGAATGAATTTGAGGGCTTATGCGTAGCCGCATTACCACAAGCACTATTCACATGCTCACAAATACACACGCACACTTTCGACATCAGCAGTCTGATTGCACTGGTACAGCACTAGGTAGCTACTACCGATACTGCAGATACTGGTATACTCTAAAAGTCCTCTAGAATTAAAATAACAAGTAATAAATCTGCATAGAGTACAAGTTATAAGGCTAATCAGTTAACAGTATCCAAACAGAAATTACAATATATCGTAGAAATTTAAATATATTAAAAGACACTAATTGACAATTTGATTATTAAAACAACATACATCACAATGCACTGGTGTAGGAGAAAAAACAAAAAAGTTCTATCTGCCAATGAAATTACTTTGGGATGGCTAAACTAACTTTTAACAGATACACACATTCCAGAAAAATATATTAATGGCTTAACAAAATTAATGGCTCAACATGCATGTACAACTCTTTGACCAATGGAATGTTGTAGTTATGATGCAATATAAAGGCTACTGGTTATTTAACCCTTTGAAATGTCCCTAAGACATTTGATGGGGTCTTTAAGGTCCTTTAGATCACATCCAATTTTCCAAACCCATGCTTACTTGGAGTTCTTTGTCGACCGGTCCACTGATTGTGCAACAACTTATTTTCAGTGTTTCATCAGTTGAATGATTGTCAGACACACAACATTAAAACACAGCTCTCACAGCCCTGTTTTGATTTTGCGTAACATCTAGTCTAACTAATTAATATACTGTTCAGAATAGAGAGATAATGCCTTAATTAACTTTTGATATAGTAATATTTAAAAAGTTAATTGGTGTAGATACTAAACCAGTGTTTAACATTGCACAAATGTACCATATTTTTTTTTTTAAATCATGCTAGATTCACATGGTCACTATTATGCCATTTCCAATATTGTCTTTCATGGAGCGTGTAATGTATCTGTATGTGACTGTTAATGATCTGCACATTTGTAAAGCTGAAAGTGCACAATAAAGTTGTTGGGCCTCAAGAACGTACAACAGAAAATTGGGCATACGGTCGTTTCAACACAAAACTTGGAATTTATCGATATGGATGTGAGCGGTGGCTACGATCAAATCTCACGTCTGGTCTCAGCTCGTGTACGCAAGTTTTTGAGTTACCTGAACTTGCGCACAGCATAGTAAATATGGCGGAGAATTGTAGAATGACAGCATTTTGTTGTTGTCCTGACCGTCAAACGAAGATCATTAGTCGATCGTTAACCAGTAAGATTAGGATGTCTTTTTTTTTTTATACAGGGCTTTAGCGTTATTGAATAGCAGCGTAAACAAGACCGTGAGGATTCAATCGTCGCATCATGCACCTGCAGCGCTTCTGTGAAAGGAGAAAAACAGAAATGAAGTCTATAAAAGGAATACAATAAATATGATCACACAAAATATATAAGGTATAATATAATTAATAGATTAACAAAAGGAAAAAAACCCCACTGTGCAACAAGTATAGGCTGCGCTCGTTTTTGTGACACTCTTAATGCATTTTATTTATTTTCTTTATATCTTTATTTGATTTTAATCTATCTGATCGAACCTTAGTGAACATTAGCTGTAGAGTTGCCTGACATTTCAGCCATTCATAATCAGACTAAAATGCAGTCAACCAAACATAAAATTTGCACGGTTTATTTCAAAAGGTCTGCTGTAAAAATCAGCGTGCATCGCCCAAACAAACATTTTTGCGCATGTGAAGGATTTTACACGGATATTAGAACATGAGTGAAGTATAAAGCCATGTTTAGGCTACATAATAACAGTTATGCAAACAAATGTTACAAATATATGGCAAAAATGAAAACATTTGGATTCTTGTGGTATGAGATAGGCTTTTGCTTGACATTTGTATGCTGTTTATGCTGTTTATAATGAATGCTAGCCTACTATAGCCTAATTTGTGTTTTATTTTATAGTTTAATATATAATTTTATAAGTACTTATTTTTCATTCTTGTTCTGTTCTGAATATTGTTAAATTTAAAATACTTGTTGTAGAGTGAGGGGAACTAAAATAGGCTATAATGTTTATATTTACCAGTAGTGCTGGGCGGTATACCGGTTCATACCGAATACCGGTGTTTATTTTTGTTATGATATTAATTTTTAAAATACCGCAATACCGGTGTATGTCGCTTAAACAACGTTCGGAATGCGACACTGTTTGAGAGGGGTCCCTTTTCACTGTTGCACTGTGGTGAGGGAACAGCTGTAGCGAAACTGAAGCTGTAGAACTAATAGAACGTGATGACACAGAAGAACTCATCCACAATATCCACACTGACCGCCACAAATATCCACCGCCCCCTGCCATCAGCTCCAGCGTCTCACACACACAAGCGTGACTTTAGCACTAGATTTAGCAACTTTCAGACCCTTTTAGTGGCTTTTATCCATAGAATATTCATACTGACAAACCTAGCGACTTTTTTGGATAAACCTTAGCTATCATTCAGCTGGAAGATTTCGCCAGAGCTGTCCCACGAATGCGAGGTCTAACTTTCCTGGAGAAGTGTCACCTCTCTCGGCGTTTGTTCTGTGCAGTGAGCAGCAGAGAAGCAGCACATTCAGTTGGCCGCACCGCAGCCGACTCGTCAATAAATGAGTACAAAACAGTGTTTCCTAGCACCTATCGCTTACTGATTGTTTGGAATATTAAATATGAGTGTAGTTCATCTGTTAATATCACATGCACTTTTTTGTTTGTTGTTTTTTTTAGTTTGTTACTCAGACGCAGGCAGTGCGCTGCATGAGACAAAAAAGTAATATAGCCAAAACAACCGCATAGCCGCTCTTTAGTATAGATGCATGTTGATTTTATCAGACGATTCTGCGATTATAAATGAGAGTGACTCCTGGTTAACATGTATTAAAAGGGGTAATTTTTAGTCACTATTTAGTGTGGTATTTTTTGACAATATTCAATCATCATGACAGTAAAATAGGGCATTCTAAGTCAATATACTGCAGTATTTCCTCTTTCAATCAGTAGAAAATATGGTTAACACCCGGTCATGCATGGAAAAAAAATACCGTGATGTACCGTGAAACCGGTATAATTTTGAAAAATACAGTGATATAAATTTTTGGTCATACCGCCCAGCACTATTTACCAGTATTTTAATATACATATAAATTACATAAATTAATGTAGCCTAATTGTTTGCAATTACAAGGTTAACGTGTGTTATCTTTGATAAGATTACTTCCTCTTTTTGACCGGGTTTTGTTTCTCCGTGTTGTAAACTCTAGGGGCGAGGCTTCTAAACCGGGGTGTTTTTAGAGGCGTGATATTCAAATGACGATTGTTTTCAGCCGCCACATTTATCAACATGCGATCATTCGTACGATGGGATTGGCCGTATTCGAATGTTTCATGAATCACACGTGAACTCTGTCGTAAGTTGATTTGTGCACACGGATCTTCGTTTGTTTATCTGCGCTCATTTCTACGTTAGATTGATAAATGAGGCCCATTGTCTCCCAAAACAAGACTCAACGCTATACAGCCTAAATGAGTCGTTAGTAATTCAAATCCAACTTGTAGCCATCTCAGGGTAACACATTTGCATAATTCACGCTTATGTTCTACATTGGCCGGCTGCTAACAACTTGACCCCACCCACAAACACGGCATTTTACTGACGACTGCTTCTCTAATCTCGGGGAGTTCAATGCAGGACTCACAAAACA